AGGTAGAAAATGACATTTATCAATTTAAAAAAACGAATGTCTAGGTAGAGTAGTAAAAAGAAAGAGTCGAAGGATAATAGACAGTGGTTAAGAACGAGTCATGACGATACCCATTAAAAGTGTGACTTTTAGGCGGATAGTCCATTTGGACACAGTCCTTGTGTTACTGCATAATCATTCTGCACTAAATTTAGGGTCTTTACGTAAGTTACAGCGGCTAGAGCTTATATCAAGGAGTTTAGGGGGCGGCGGACTTAAAGTGAAAGGAAGCAAAAGCGCCCCCGAGTGTTAGTTGTCTGATGTGCCGTTCTTCATGGGTTACTACGAAGAATACCTTAGTATCTTAATAACAGAACACCTTAATTCGTGTAATAATGATCATTTTTAATCCTATAGATTGAAGTTAGGCTACCCATAGACAGAAAGCTTCTGAGTGTGAAAAGACGTAGATTCCTCAGATTTCTTTCATGAAGTTTGTTTCGGCGTCCTTTTTTAATTAGCAAGGCAGCAGTCATGGTGTGCACTTTAAATTGTGGTAGTACGTAAGTTTTATACATTCCTACAGGAGGTTCACTTTTTCGATACATAGGGTGTAACTTACTGTCTGTGATGTTTCAGTACTGCATCTTATACAGTGGCGAACAAGCCATTGCGCAGTGCCCGATTCCCAGAGTTTTCTTTCTGTAAACTACTTCAGTCTTCCTGACACCCTGTTGCTGTTCATATGTAAACGTCATCAACGTAAGGGACAGTTAGGCAGTTTGGATAATGTGGTAGGTCAGTGGTAAGAATAAATAACAATGAGGGTTTCAGGATGGAATCCTGTATTTGGATGGTAAAGCACGATCGATCCTAATGCAGAATTATTTGCCATCCAGGTAGTCATTCAGCATGAGAGGCACGGACCACCAATGGGGCTGTCATACGGCATTTAACTTTTTTGAAGTGATGACAACCTTTTGTGGTGAGCGTTAGGGCATTTCAATAAGTTGGCCAAAATATACCTGCACGATTTCATTAAAATTCAATAATATGCGTCTAACTTTTGAGTTTGCTGCCTCCTTTAATTAATTACATTGCGCGGATATCAGTATGAAGCAACATTTTCTGTCAAGGGTGAAGCAAATGTGGTTTAATTCAAGATTTCACTGCCACCGACATCATATATGCGAGAAAAAGTTTTAATGCACAATCTTATTTAAAAGTATACAAAAGACACAACTTGTGATTAAACCACTATAGCAACGGGCAATGACATCACGATTAGCGAGGTTAGGTAATAAAGCCACTCTGAAAGGATCCACTCCCTTCACAGCAGGGATACGGTCTAAACACAATGTCTACTTCAAACCACATATGACAAATCATTCCAACTTCCATCACTGTGAATTTAATTGAAGCTACGGCAGTCAGGCGTCGGGATACACTACACAGAAGTTTACCGAGAATCATAAACCTTCACGTTGCAACCAAGGAGTGAGCATGATGAAATCAACGTGTTACACTAGGTCGTGTATAGGATATTGGAAAGATTGGACAGTTTACATGGCTTAACTGACTTTGGTGGCTGAATAAACATTTCCAGAATTAGAGGAGTGAGATCGTCTGTTAACACCAACAACCATGTACTTGTAAACAATTACTCTGAATCGGTTCAATATAAAACTTTGGATACCATAAGTCTATTGGCGTTTTATTGGATACTTCAAGGCCAACATCGGTATTCAATTTTTATTACAGAAGTCGTTTGTGGGTGAGTCCGACGATTATTTATTTCCAAGCTTAGCACGGTTTAATGATATCTGTAATGGTGATAAAACTGAGCACAGAATCGAAGAATCTAGATTCTTTGTCCCGTTGTAATGATTGGCTTGACTAATTGACGAATCTCTTGGATTTTGTTGTATATACCACATTCATCTTGAGCCATGACACCAAACGAATATTTTCGTGGATGAAATGTAGGCATTTCATCGTTCGAAAGTGGTGAAACCGGAGAGAAGATGGCTATTTTCGGAAATAACAGTGTAAAAACCTTAAGCTTACAATAATGCTGGATTGTCTCGCTAATTCTGCATTAACTCTAACATTCTATTGTGAGTAAATTCTGAATCTGTTCTAAAATGGTTTGTTCAAGCGAACAGACTAGAAATCAGTGCTGTTCCTCAGCATGACGCACTAATTCATCACCTTGTTCATTATCTTAACATTTTCAGTGGTATATCAGAACCTGCTGTCGTCGCCCTCACGGCACATATTGAGCTCTGACTAGGATTACTTCAGAACGAAAAGAATTAATTCAGCGCATGGTGACAATTTTTTCATCCCTGTCAGCCCATATTCAGCATTGTTTCATATGTCAATGTTATTTTTAAGATTTTGTCGGATCAATTAAGCACCCACCGCTTTTTTAAGCAAAGTCGTCGTTATTTAAGTACATATTGGGTAGATTAAATGTCCATTTACATTAAAAAGGCATTATTGACGCATAGGTTAGAATAAGTTTAGAATTGTTGTAAGCTAGGAACATATACATATGACAATATGGTGATTACGGTTAATAAGTAGCCTCAGGACATGCTTAGGATTACCAGAGTTTATGCTGGCTAGAGGTCATAAGTCAGTGAGTAATTTTGAATCCACCTCGGTTTTTGATGTATTTTGACGTTTTTCCCCAAGTTTTGCACTAAGGTACCCCCAAAATATGTCAAAATGTTCCGTTGATGTTGGTCACTAATCGTAAATGTGAACAACGCTCCTAGACAAGCGCTAAATTTTCAAACGTGGGCTTAGTACTTTTACAGCCAATATATTGGCTCAATGAACTGCGAAAGTTTTTCTAGTCATCCTATTCCTACCCCTACGGTATTTATCGCCCACTCCTGAATTTATAGTCTCCATTTTAAGGTGATCAAAGAGATGAAGGCTGGCGAGAATGTAACACTGATTTCGTGGACTCATAAGCCTTGTTTTTCATGCAGACTTATCTTAAGTTGCGATGCCTGTTGGCTAACATTCAGCTTCCCAGTATGTCTTACGTGCTTTATGCTTTTTTACGTTATTCTGCTTAACCACAAACCCAATTGGAAATGGACAATTAGATTGCACACATAAAATAAATAAGGCGGACTCATAGCACAGGAGGTACAGTTTTTAGAAAGCCTAAAAATTAACCTTGAAGGACTCTATAACCAAAACTGATCTTCGTGCATAGAAACGGTAGTATGCTCAAACCTCCCTTGCTAACATATTCTCTCCTTCAATATCAGTGCTTGCTTGCTTTTTCTTGCTTTACTTCGGCTATCTCCTACGAGAGGATGAGCCGGCTTCATGAACGTCTCGAATCATCACTGCTCAGGCGCGGCAATTTGTAAGAGAGTTCATGAAGTTTCATGGGAATTTGGTACGAGTGATGTCCCCAGCATCGCTCGGCCTTTTGTTTGAGAGTGCAGCTCTAGCCTTTACACAACCAAGTGTGACCTACAAGGCAGTAGGAGTGGAGTAAGGAGTCCACTATCCATTGGCAGCCGGTGACCGGAGTTCGGTTCGTACGCCTTTTTGAATGGGGCCAGACATCCAGGACATCCAACAAGCCCTTTGTCCATACGTCTGCCGGTGAGCTCCAGTGAGCTTCATACGCCAGTCGTTGGAGGTTTGGAATCAGGGTTTAACCATCTCCCCTAGACTGTCATCCAATGGACAGTCAACCCGGTGGAGAGCGCCGGGCATCCGCTTTCGCCCTCTCACTTTGGTGAGAAACACCTCCGCCACGTGAAGGCAGTGGGTAGGACTTCCTCAGGAGAGGCTATGTAAGACGCCCGGTCATATGGGAGCATTTCAAGAGGTGTGCGGAGGGGTGGCCAACCCGCAGCGCAAGGCACCCACCCCTGACCATCCTGAGGCTTCAATATCAGTATCTTCCTTTCAATTATTTGTTTACTTCATCACTATGTTCAATTAAGAACTGTTGTGATTGAAATGGTTTTCGTGTTCAAAGCTAAAAATAATTTTCAAAAGAATGGATACTGAACAAAGAACTCTTTTCAATAACTTCATCATCATGCTCTACAGCTATACATACATTATAGTGAATGAATGTTATGAACAACGTTAATGTTGTTTAAATAACATCGAATCAATAATATTGATAGATTACAGCTAAATAGCGTCAACATAAAATAAGGTGAATGTCGGAAAAATTACGAAAGCTAATAATACAAATTCATGAATTTATAGTCTACGGAAGGCTAGCCAGGGCAGTAGTAGGGACTGAACTTGCTTCTTTTGCAGTAGCCTCTGGTGTTTTGAGCATGCGGTACTTCGATGATTTTGGTCATTTATTAGGCACCCGGTAGACTATAGAGAAGGTTTCCACGCTGGCTGGCTTTGTGGCTGGTTTGCACCAGATGGTCCAATATGTAACTGCTAATGGCTTTAACTACACCTTTACTTAGCCATAGTTGGAGATGTTCTCGAACACGAAAAATCAAGTTCCTAGAGCAACAACCAATATAACTAGCTCCACCACAAGCGTAGTTGAATTTGTAGATAATTGACTAAGGACATAAAGTGGAGTCGTATTAATGTAACGAGCCTAAGCTCCGTGAGTTTAAGGCAATAACATATCCTGTTGAGTAGATAGCCATCGTCACCCAAATGTATCCGCTTAGCATTCTCTTGATTTATTCTTTTAAATTAATTCACTTTTATGCTAACTTTTTTCTAGAATTTTCGTAAGTAGCTTCTACTTTCACAGATCTTTGAAGTGTCGTCCTCTCTGTTGACCCTTCTCAGGTGTATTTCACAGGCTTTCTAGATTTTCTGCTGATTAACCATTATCTTGGATTTATATTTCCGTTCACCACTAGCCTTCGTTACTGATAATTATTTCCATTGTTCTTATCTTATAGACTTCTCGTTTTGTTCGGCAAATTTCTGTGTGCAATCTCTTTGTGGACACTGACGTATATTAGCACATAAGTAAACGTACTACATTTAAAATGGTCGATTTGAGTGATAAAGATCTTAATGGTAAGTTTTTGTCTAAAAAATAATTTGAAACTTGTGAGTAGATGTCCATGAAACATTCCTGCTTTTTGATAGTAAAGGTGATGAAAAAATTGATGCTAAAGATGTCGGCGAGGTTGTACGTGCATTGGGGTTAAATCCAACCGAATCAGACATTGGAAAGTACGGTCATCAAAATAATCCAAGTATGTCTATCTCTTGATGCAAAAATGCTTTGTGTTATGTATTTTCTGTTGAGTAAATCTCTAAAGGAAACTTTATGCTACAAATGTTAAATAAAGATCAAACACATTTATCCCATTTCACCAATCATTATTCAAATGAGTGCGTAATATCGTTACATTAATGGTTTTAGTATGGCTCTTCACCTCTTCCTTTATTCCATACGTTGTCATTAACCAAAATTCTATCGCACCTGTGTTTTTAATGGTTATCTAATTTAAGTAATCGATACAGAATTCATGTAATTTAAGTCGTTTAATCATGTATAAAAAAGTCAGCAAACTTCACTTCAAAGCTGTACAGTTACTTGGTGGGTCTATTTACGTACAATGTTAATTGGCGACAGAGATCATAGGTTATTGTAAGTTAATAACAAAAGAAATCAGTGTTTGAGAAATAACAGTGTTAGGGTAGTAACAAAGGTGATGAGTTGTCACAAACAGTTGTTAAAAGAAGTTATGCAATAATAATATGAATAGTTTGGTGAGTGAGTTTTACTCAGGATGCACATAGAAACAAAGTAGATAATACGAAACTATGTAAGAGATTTAAGTGAATACAAGAATTATAAGCAATTAAGGAACAGGCGAAGAAACAAAATTAAGTCATCAAAATAAAATAAAAGCTCAAAACAAATCAAAACATTGTTACCATGAGAGTAGAAGTGGTTGAGTAATCTTCTTTTGTATGCACAGCTCCGGTTTTTCCATGTGAATGGCCAGAGCTTCAGCGATGCAAAGGAGACGAAACCGTATTGCCTTTGATATGTTATTCTTGACTCTGTAGATTACTTTGAAGGAGGCGTTCGTTGAAATGCAATGATCAGTGTTGACCAGGTGTTCAATTATCGCACTCCTTATTGCACCAGTATTGCCTTTTCGCAACCATGCTGGATAATGTTCTTGAATTCTCTTGGACAGGATGCGCGTCGAACGACCGATGTACCTGGCTCCACAGCAGCAGGTGAACTGGTATATGCACATAGAAGTGGCCAGATGCGGGATCTTGTCCTTGAGGCTTCTGCAGATCAGTGGGCGACTGGAGAACACTATTCGTAGCGTTGCTGCAAAGAACGTTCTTCTCAGAGATGATGTGATCCTTCTCTTGAGAATATCGCTTGCTAAATCTCCCTTGAAATCCAAATTCATGTAGATTTTCTTTTTAGGCACAGTTAAAGTTTCGTTTTTCCGAATTATTGGTTTCATATTTTTGTCGATAAATCTTATTGGGTATCCATTTTGGATGAATATTTCTCTCAAAATATCTAATTCTGTTTCCAGAACGTCGGGACTACAGATGCGTCGGATGCGAGTAGCAAGTGATTTAATTAAATTCCACTTTGTTGAATGGGCACCCAGCTATAGGAGCTTGTTAGTTGACCATTCCACGTAGGTTTTCTATGGATTGATCTTCTCAGGCTCCCATCAGCTCTTCTTGTCAGTTCCACATCAAGAAACGGAATTTTTGACTCGTTTTCCATTTCAAGAGTGAATTTTATTGCTGGATGGCAATTGGCAATAACAGTGTGCCAAAGATAATGGATAATCGTACGTAATCGCGATGGTTCACAGCTAATTAGTTCGGTGATAAATAATTACCAGGAGATAATTAATAAGACGCACGAAAACAAAGGATTACAAATAGGTTACAAAAATTAAAAAAATAAGGACTACACATTGTTAACCATACAACTCAGGAGAGCGACATTGATACTAGAGCCAGGGTAGTAAAAGAAGCTGGATAAAACATTTATGAACACAAAATTCAGGTTTTTAATGGGTGACTAAAGTTTCATCCACATGAAGATGATGTAGACGAAATTCTTTGGAACTATTCGGTCGTACTGTATATATGACTTTTAATGAAGTTTACTGATGCTGTGACTAGAAGTTATAATGTGTTGCAGAATTGAACTGTTGACTGTTCTGCGTCTCCATTTCGACAACCATGCTGATAAACGTTCACGGGCACATCTAGACACCTTGTTATTTCTCATACACTGATTTTGTCACCAACTGGTGTTTATTGTCAATTGAGATTATATATATATATATATATATATATATATATATATATATATATATAAACTTCCTAAATAACTGTACAGCTTTGAAGCGAAGTTACGAAAATAGATCTTTTTCCTAACTGGTGTGTTCCTAACCAAGTCTGTTAGAAGTTTATTTCAGTCAGCTTGAAACAGTTAATAAACCTTAGTGGCTTTCCGAAGCACTTGAAAGTTCGTTGTTGCAGGCAAAAACTGTTTCTGGCTTACTAAAGTATATTTCTGTAAATGACACAATTTCTCAACACTATCTGGTGGCTACCTACCATAGTGAGATTGTGATTGGACACTAGTAACTAGTGTGACGTGTCTAATCCTTTCTTTGGAGCAGACTGAATTCTGTCAGTCAGGTTTGCAATGTGGCCACCATTCTAGGTGGCCATCACGGTGCACATTGATTTGATGATGTTAGATAGTTGGAGGCAATCGGCAGGAAGCCTTGGACCCAGGTCAGTGGTAACGTTTCTGACTGCAGCACTGAGTGACACGGGTCCGAATCTCAGAAAGAACATGAGTTCCTTCAAGGTTGCAGATACGCCTTGCTGACTAGTGAGTGTCAACTAGCACGAAACCTAGGTGAAGGCTTCCTGCCGATTTATTTATTTAAACGCATAAAAAACTTGGTACAATATGGCACCAAGAAAGATGCGCCACACAATAATAATAAAACAACATAGATCAAAAAAAGGAAGGAAGGAAAAGAAAAAATATATATAAGTAGAGAACGGATAAAGAACTTCATCTGGAAGGAAAACAGTCATGCTTAACAAGTTCAAACAGTGTTCGTTAGCTATCATCGGGAAGGGAAGAAAGAAGGAAATCGCAACACATTCGCCACTGATTACGATTCTTGGCCATATCCGATAACGTTTCGAGCCATCGATTTGAGCTATCTCTCGGACCCCAACCAGGGAGTCGTGACACACCAACCGATGCTAATCTAGCACAAAAATCCTTCATCCCACGACGCCACGTCATGGACTGACCACCTCTCCGCCTTTTCCATCCCGTCCCAGGGCTAGCGAACAGAGACCTGTACGGAAGCCTCTGGGGTGACATTCGGAGCACATGTCCAAGCCACCGGAGCCGGTGTTTCCAGATGACGACATTCAATGAATGGTGATCTCCACTTTGTTCAAACACACGCCGCCGAACCTCAGAATTACTCACGCGATGATGCCATCGAACGCAAGCAATCCTGCGGAGACAGCGGTGATCGAACACGCAGAGTCGCCGCACATCCTCAGCTCGGAGAGGCCAGGTTTCACAGGCGTAGAGCAGCGCAGCCCGCACCGAAGCATTGTATACCCGACCTTTGACAGCCAGGCTAACGTCGCGACGGCGCCAGAGGTGGCTCAAGTTGATGTATGCCACCCTAGCCTTCATTATACGGTTGGAAATCTCATCCGTCACCCCTCCGCCAGCACTCACACAACTACCCAGGTACACAAACTTATCAACAACTTCAAGCGGTTCACCCGCAAGAGTGAGTGCAGGTACAGGCTCCTGCCAATCTTGTAACAGTACTTTGCACTTAGACGGCGCAAAGCACATACCATACTTACAGACACTGATCGCCAACTGATTAAGTGCGATTTGGGCAGCCTGCATGCTATCGCACAGTAAGACGATATCGTCTGCATACTCGAGGTCGAAAAGTCTATCTCCAGGTAGCAGATCTACACCACCTTCACGCACATCCTTCAGAGCTGACTCCAGAATGTCATCGATGGCAAAGTTAAAGAGAAATGGAGAGATTGGGCAACCCTGTCTAACCCCACTGTTGGTTGGGAACAGTGGTGATAGTTGGTTGTATGCCCTCACTCTACCTGAGGTGTTTCTGTATAGGGCTTTCAGGATGTTAACAAATTTCTCAGGTACACCTCTCTCTAACAGACAGTTCCAGAGCACAGTTCTGTCCAACGAATCGAAGGCAGCCCTAATATCAAGAAACACAACGATCGTTGGCCTGCAATACGTGTGGCGGTGTTCCAACAACTGACGAAGGGTGAACACATGATCAATGCATCCACGACCTGAACGAAACCCAGCCTGCTCTTCGCGAATCAATCCTTCACGTATTTTGCACAGTCTGCGAAGCAAGACAGCAGCCAATATTTTAGACGCGACTGGTAACAGACTGATACCCCTATGATTGTCACACGAATTACGTCGACCCTTTTTAAAGATGGGGACGATAATGGCTTCGTTCCACATTGATGGTACACTCTCTGTCTCCCACACCTTCCTGAACAACCCAGTTAGAGCCATTGTGAGAGTCTCGCCACCATCTTTAAAAAGAGCCGGGGGTAATTTGTCTGGGCCGGGCGCCTTATGGCGTTTCAGAACTTGGAGTTCCTTACGGACCTCCGCTTCGGTGGGTGGGTCGGTACTAACCGACCAAGGAGCACTCGGGCTAATGATAGTAGACACTGAAGCTGGTGGCCAGCTGAACTGCTTCCCGAAGTGCTCTGCCCAGCGTTCCAGGCGTCTTTTCAGGCTGGTAATTGGAGTGCCATCTGCCTCACAGACCGTCTCGCTGACACCTTGTTTCTTGCTGCCGGTGGCTCGTATGAGTTGGAACAGCTTCCGACTGTTGCCAGATGCAGCAGCTGACTCCATCTCACACGCACGTTCTGACCACCAGGCTTCGCGGTCCTTACGTAAACACTGTCTAATCTTGCGCGTGAGCGCCTTTCGCTGATTGTTGTATTCGCTGCCAGCCGGAATGGACCGGCGTTCATCCATGAGTTGCAAGGAACTCGCAGAAACCCAGTGGTTGTTAGCGGAGCATTCTTTCAAGCCGCAAGCGGCTACACTCGCCTTTTGCATGGCACCTTGCACATGAAGCCAATGTTCATCTATACTACTTGGGGGGTTGCTGGCAAGCATTGTTTTTAACTCATTCTGATATTTCAAAGAAGTAGCAGGTGCTACTAGTTTGCTCACATCAACGCTTAGACGACGGCTTTTACGAACCCCACCAAATCGCAAGACGAACTTGGCACACACTAACGCATGATCGGAGTCCAGGCATGTGCTCCAGAAGGAGCGACAGTCTTGTATGCATCCTCGCCACCGGAAACTGACCGCGATATGATCAATCTGAGTCCAAGCTTGCTTCGCAGAGGGAGGACGCCAGGTAGCGCTACGGCGATGGCTGTGCCGGAAGTTGGTGCTAGCTAGAAATAGGTTGTGATCCGCGCAAAGCTGCAGAAGACGGTCCCCATTATCTGACCTGCGACCATGTAGTCCCCACTGACCACCTAGACGATTCTCCTCTGAGCTTAGACGCCCCACCTGTGCATTCAAGTCCCCAGCCAGCACTACGATATCCCTCCGACCCGCCTGTTTCAAGAGATCGCTCAGTTGGTAGTAAAACTCATCCTTCATTGCATCCGGGCTGCAATCCGTCGGTGCATAGGCAGAGACAACAAATAGACACCGCCTATCTGGCCTACTACTCCTTACTTTCGTATAACCTTCCAGCCTCACAGCACATAAACGACTGTTAATGGGAATCCAGTCGAGCAGTGCAGCTTCGGCTCTAGCGCTCAGTGCGACACCGACACCAGCTACGCCGGATGCCGACGCCACAGGGTCCCCGGATAAGCGCAGGTGGTACATACTACTAGAACTTCCAGATGGAGAGGATAGTCGAAGCACTTCACTGGGATCTTGAATGCGGGTCTCCGAAATGCAGCAGACATCGATAGCGAGGCTTTCCAAAGTTCTTGCCAACCCTGCCTGTTGTCCGATTTGCATCAGCGTCCGAACATTGTAGGTAGCCAGCTTGAACGCAGCACGCGGTTTCAGGATATCCGTGTTAGATGTCACATTGGGAACAACCATTTTGAGGACTACTCACTAACATCTCGAAACGACACGGATAGGCTGGGAATCTCGACAAAGGCGAAAGGCTGTCGAAGGTTAAGAAGCCAAGGTTAGAAAAGGTACAATACAGGAAACTATGTATAAAAATAAAAGTAGGGTAGGAAGGAAATAAGTTCCTTGAGGGATCAATATTGCTTGGAATCATTTTTACTAGCGCGTGTTGAGTTTCAATGGGAGTTCGTTGCTTTAATTCATTCATTGTGTGCGGGCTGAGATACTGCCCGGGCGCCCAGACCGAAGCAGGTGGTTTTATTAAGGGACCACCCCCCGAGCCTTTGACTTGGAGTCTAATCCGCAAGGCAGCGGAGCAGCGTCAGGAGCTGCATTCCCATGGTTGCCGGTGACCCATGTGGGTTCATACGCCATTTGATCCGATTGGAAACTGGAGCCCATGTACCCCATGGTAACTGCTTTTAGTTTAACCGCTATCCAGAAAACCTTCCTGACATGGTAGGACCTGTAGAGACAGAGTCCCAGTCAGTTCAGCTTGTTGGGTCATTGCGGTATTCAAGCCCGACCACCGCGACAAGGTAGCAGTTATCGGCCGGGTTCCTGCCGATTGCCTCCAAGTATCTAATATTATCATAGTGAGATATGTTGATCTTAGAAACTAACAAGTATCAAAAAAAGATGACTTCAAGCTAAAGGATTTCCACAATGAATTACCAGTTGGCAAGAATCTTAATGTTAGTAAGACGTTTTGTAAAAAATTGATGTATGACTAACTTAGCTTCATTGGATTCCTCTGGCATTCAATTTTATTCTACCCTAACCAAGAATATGTTAGGAATGAACTTATAAAGGTAATTTTCATAGTAAGTCACAACAACTTACTGATTAGATACGTAATAGCAAACAAGCTTCATTTCTGAGAGGATGTTGGGCTCTGTTCGTAACGCGAAAGTATTAGTCTTGTATTGAAACCCTTGTTCCATGCCAGTAGCATCGAAATTATCGCAGGAACTATCTTGATAATGTCTTTTTGTGTGATGTGTGTAAGTAACTTAATATGATTATGAGCAATATCTTGTGCTTGGAACGTCATCAGCTAATATAACTGTACAACACTGTATGATTTATCAAAATAAAATCTTATCCATAATGAAGTTATGCTCTGCCACAGTGCCCAAGTTTCATACTTATATTGATATCTACTTGCTTCTACTTTCTCAATTTCATCTCTGACAGTCAGATGCATTCTGAAATTTAATTTACAATTTTTTTCCCATCAATCAGACATTTTCGCATAAATAACATTGCCATCATACAATCTGCTTTATTACTTACCCTTTATGGCTTTTTTTTGTAGATGAACGTATCAGTTTTGAATCTTTCGTCCCTATTTATCATGGCCTATTAAAAGAACAGGTGGAAGTTGACCAAGAAGCGTTTATTGAGTCATTTCGTGTCTTTGATAAAGAAGATAATGGATTTATTAGTGCAGCTGAACTTAGACATTTGCTTACAGCTCTCGGTGAAAAACTTCGTGATGATGAAGTAGATATCTTATTAGCTGGCTTGGAAAACAGTCAAGGTCTTGTACCATATCAAGGTAAGTCGTGTGTGTATATGTTTGTGTGTACGCTCCTGGGTACCAAGTTCGAGTCGCGCTCCACATACCTCAGCCTGGGCCAACATGGTAGTATCCCCATCCCTCACACAATGAGTGTATGGCTTGTAGTCCGGTACATAGACTTTTAAAAAAGCGCTCCTTCAGTGCACTAGGTTTATGTTTCAAATGTATGTGAGTTTAATATGGTCAGTGAATGTGTTGTGACTTAGTCGGTTACGACGTCAGCAGTCTGATTTTGACTGGTTCAAATGCTCTACAGTCTGGGCTTTCGTGTCAATTTTAGTTATCACAGTATTACATTAGTGTATCAGTCTACCAAACTAAACTTATCTGAGATGCTTTGTATTCTGCTATGTAATGACTATTTGACATTCAAAATTCATGTATTCTTTCTTGCCTTATTGTAAATCGTTTTACCCTATCCTCTTAATTGCACATCTATCATGCTGTTACTGCCCTACACCAGTAGCCTTGACAGCTGTATTAAATTGATTGGATGTAAATCTTAAAAAGTTTCAATCACATCCGAGAAGACTGGTTGGGAAAGAATATGTCTTCTATTAAGTCTTAAATTAAGCAGTGGATTGTCAAAACCTTTGATTTTTTGTGTTGATTTTCAAAAACTGCGTCACAACTTTAAGGATTGCCAGTAATTTACTTGCAATAAATTATTATTTTTCTGTCTTATTTCATTTTTCGTGACTTTTCATAAAAACTGTATACTACTGATTGGCTGACATGAGTAGTTGTTTACCACTCCTATTGACCAGTATGCTTGCTAGCCGACCAAAACGGTTGTTTCGCTCAATTTTGGTTTAAGCTGATCAGCGGTGTTACCCGGTTTGACTCACCTTAGAAAGTCAAATCCAGGATAAACTACCCGATATCTGGCTAGTTATTTGGGTGAACTGTTGATACCATAAGCCCAAATCGGAATTTGCAAATTAATTCAGAAATTAAACAGTTCGAGGAGAAATTTCACCACAGTTTCCTATGGAAGTGGTAATGATATAATTGGTAGTCAACCACTCATCTCAATCAGTTATCGTTTTAGGCAAATGTACTTGCTTTTTTGTTTACCATTTATATTATCAAGGAAATCACATGCAGTGAGTTATCTGAATAACTTGGTTACCGAAGGAAACTTTGGTGAAATTTCATCCCTCAAACTGGTGTAGGTTGCAAAATGCTGACTAAAGTTGCAAGCTGTGACTTTGATTTTCGTGACTTTATCAACCACCTTACAGTTGAGTTGGTAGATAACTGACAAATTCTGATGAGTTTAATAACTCCCTTTATGATGCAGTAATTACCGACTGTGTATCACAGGCTAGAATCTGTCTATGCATACCAAGTTCAGAGGTTTAATATTATCGATAGCTCAGTAATTGTTGAAGTGTGACGCACCTGTGTAGGTGCATTGCTTTCAACCAGTGGAACACTGGATCTCCTTCAACCTGGGCAATCACGTAGTATCCTTAGTCTTAACACCGTAAATGTGGCTTATAACATAGGACATTAGAAATCTGTACCGGTTACCTGATTTCTGACAATAGTTGGTCCTGGTTTGAAAATTAATAACCGTTTAGCCCAATTCAGAAATTATCTGTGACTTGTATGTAAATGAGAGTTAACGTATACATGTTATCCTAAAATAAGTGTATGCCATTGCCACTAACATAGGCTTCAATAGATTTATAAAGTAGAACCGTACTAATTACAAGCCCTTAGGCGCTGAGTAATTTCATCTAATTTAAAATATTATATAGTATTAGTTGAATTGAAATAAGAATGTTTCTATATGTGTAAAACTTGGGCACTGTAGTAGTAAGTAATTCCATATTAGTTTGTTTATTAAATGTATCACACAGTGATGGAACAGTATTATTTACTGGATGATAAGGTTTTGAACAAAATTTATTGTTCATAATCATTTCATCAATTATAACCACACGACTTTGAAACTTGAGTTTTATAGTTTTCTTTGTCTTCTCCTATTTGTCGTCGTAGGGGTAGTAGAATTTTCCAGATATCTGGGACAGGTGTTGAATCATTCCTATTACACGTGTTGGTTCGCAGTTGATTCGATAAACAAAGCTTCTGTTATCAATCTCTTCCTATACCCTGTGACATTAGATTTTAAAACTGTCATCTTATCCCATCCATCCTATTGTTTGGTTGTGTGTGAATGCATGTAATGCTATAGATAGATTTTTCAAACACATCAACTCGAAAGTAGAGGCAATTCAATTCACTTATCAATTGAAAAAATCAGGAAGGGGAGTTTCTAATGTTGGATAGCAACGTAAAAAGGAAAGAAGAAGAAGAGAAGTTGAACACTAGTGTTTACAGGAAACCCACACATTCAAACAGATATTTGGACTTCCGATCATCCTATCCTATGTCAGTAAAAATAGGATTGGTGAAATGTTTAAATGACAGAGAACAAAAACTAAGTAATACCAAGGAAAATCTAAGACAGGAAGTGATAAACATAAAGAAGCATTGAAACTTAATAATTACCCCGGGATTAATTAGTCAGGAAATATGTAAAGAAATGTAAAAACAAAATAAGTAATAATAATAATATTAATGACGATACCAATAATAAGGAATCGAAATCATCAGTAGTAATTCCATACCAGTAAGGACCTCTGAAACCTCACGTAGAATTCTTAACAATGCAGGAATAAAAGTGGCATTCAAACCCATAAACTCAATTAGAAACAAGCTTTGTCGGTTAAAGGATCCTGTGGAGCATTTAAAACAAAACAATTTAGTTTATCTAATACCCTGCCTGAGATGATTGTCAGGTCAAATACATAGGTCAAACTAGTAAAACAGGGACAGTCAGACTAGCCGAACATAAAAACCTAGCTAAATCTAGATTGGTTGACCCAAATAAGATAAGAAATCTAGAGAATTGTTCACCCATAGCATTACATGCATTCACACACAACTATACAATAGGATGGATGGGTAGGATGACAGTTTTAAAATCTAATGTCACAGGGTATAGGAAGAGATTGATAACAGAAACTTTGTTTATCGAATCAACTGCGAACTAACACGTGTAATAGGAATGATTCAACACCTGTCCCAGATATCTGGAAAATTCTACTACCCCTACGACGACAAATAGGAGAAGACAAAGAAAACTATAAAACTCAAGTTTCAAAGTCGTGTGATTACAATTGATGACATGATTATGAACAATAAATTTTGTTCGAAACTTCGTCATCCAGTAAATAATACTGTTCCATCACTGTGTGATACATTTAATAAACAAACTAATATGGAATTAAGAATGTTTCTGTTGAGACAATATATTCATAGACAAACTTTATCATTAATATTATTCTAGATATTTTCTCTTTTACTTTTGTTTCCCCTGGGTTTTATAGCATTTGTACAACGTATAATGAATTGAAAAATTCAAAATGTGAAGATCAATACGCGAATCCGTCACATTCCTCTGCTTCATGTAGGCGATGGTCAGAAAAATTCTTCTTCGATAGCATCACAATTCAACAAGTTATTGTATTATATGTAGCGTTTGTTGTATTACTATTTGCTTTATCATTCAACTGAAGTTTGCTTGCTAACACAATATAATAATACTGTATTTCAATCTACTTTGCTTTTATTTTAAGTACATATAAATATAAGTGTTTTAAGTTTAATACATACATCCAGCTATCTCTTGTAAAATATACATCTGTGCAACAGAGTACTTTTGTCTCCTAACTTTGTTTAGTATCTCAACTATATTAAATGTTTATTAGTGGATGGTGGTGACTAGCAGTGGGATTCAAGATGGGCGTTTCGTCCCGTTCGAGACTCATCAATAGATAATGCTTTGGCGTTTGAAATCATGGGCATTGGGTTCGAGCCTCGGTGAGAATGCAGGCACGTCCAGACGACGAGTCCAAAATAGGAAGAAATGCTCATCTTGGATTCCACTGCTAGTCAGTCACCATCTACCAATTGGCTTCAAGTTACGTGACCAGACAACGTCGAAGCATCTTCACAAGCAGTCGACATGTCAACCTGAGACCGAGCACTTCGGTCCAATCAATCGATGGAGAAATTTAAACTGAATTAAATATTAAATGTTTATTTGTCCTGTTGACTAGATGCACCCTAAAATATTACAGAAATCTGAGGATATTTGTAAATCGTATTCGGATTATCAATTCGTGTCTCTGTAAAATTTTACTGAGTTTATTATTTTGTTGAGTCACTTAAGTGTTTACCTATCGTGATTAAGAAGCCTTAATTCATTACTTCGAACGCTTAACTTTTAAGTGTTGTGGATTATGTGTTCGAATTCCAGGAGTAGCTTTATTGCATGACCTCGGCAACTGTAACCTCGTAGACCGTTCCTATGATGGCCTAATTACAAGTTGTACTTTTTGTATGCTTTTTAAATAAGATTGTGCACTAAAAAGTTTTTCTGGCGTATATATTATAGGCAGCATTTTATTTTTTGACCGCATTACATTTGCTTCAGTTTTATCAGCAAATGTTGCCTGATGGTGATATCTGTGCAATGCAATCGATTAAAGGAGGCAGTACTTTCGAAAGTTAGATGTATATTATTGAATTTTCATGAAATCATGCTGGTGTATTTTGTCCTATATATTAAAATGCCCTAATGCCCACCGCATAAAGGTAACACCACTTCAAAAAAGGGCATATGCCATATAATTGACCAAATTCTAGTTGTCAATAGATTTCGTCATCTAAGTTGTGTCATCAGCCTTTTGAGTACAGTTCCAACTGATAACATAGTATGTGAAATTCTTATATTCTGCTTGATTACCATTGTTTTGCTTACTGTTACTTCATTAATATTCACCAAGTGTTCATTAGTAAGTTTTATCTGTATCCTGACCCCGACCACATGAGGACAAGTCTCTGATCAGCTGTAAGTAAATGACAGAAAAAGTAGTATCAACTGCTAGAGTCTATTAGACATATTTAGTTAAAACATAAGATTAATCATATTGCTTTTCAGGTGTCTTAAGTACCGTTCTTTGATTGGCTTCCAATACAACTTAGTTTAAGATTTTGTGATAAAGTAGTCGAGTTTGTCAGCAACTCAGACTATTGAGGAATTTTCACTTATCTTCTTGGACTGCTAAGTAACTGAATTCCCGTGAAAATATCAAGTGTTTTCTTTTTTATCCAATAAGTTTGTTATTATTTACAGTGATGAAATATTTCATTGATCAGGAATTGGGTATTACCACTATGCACCTAACACTGCATTACTTGAAGATCGCTAAATGCATAAGGACTTTTTGGTAGAAGTTGGATTTGATGAAGGCACTAGGAGAACGATGTTACGGATAAAGTTGTATTTTCATATTAGTAAAATAAGTCAGTTTCATGAGGATACTTATGTGCGCCAAAGGTGTCTAGAGGATGTTCTTTAGATTTGTCAGTTTAACATTTTTTACCGACGTATGCGTTTCACAAGGGTAGTTTGAGGTTAGAAGAAGACTAATCGAGTTCACAAAATGAAACATCTAAGAATATTTCTAGTTTGACCGCGGATTGATATCACTTTGAGAACCTATTCAGGTAGGTAGTTACCTGGGGTTCCAGTGGGAAGTTGTGATCAGTAGTGTGCAGCAGGTCGGGAGAAATACTCGCCGAAGATATTGGCTAGGGGTCTCGCTATGTCGTGAATTGGCAGAAGTTAGAATTCATGAACTGGCCATTGGATCGGGTCCCATTGGCTTGATGGTATGCGAGCTCGCCTTGTAACCATAATGTCCTTGGTTCGAATCCCGGTGAATTCGTACTGATGAAGAGTCCCAAACTAGGACGAAACAGCTTTCCAGTACTCCCAGGTTTTCCAGTGGTTCTCTAACTTATGTCAGCTCATGATGAAATCTGTAACTTTGAGAACCATTGGTTGGAAACCATCACCGACTACCGGACAGCTGTTTCATCCTAGTTTGGTGATCATCGGCAGTACTCACCCACCACCAGGGTTCGAACCCTGGACCTTCCATTTACAAGTCAAGCTCGTATACCATTCAGCCATTGGACCCAATTCAATAGCCCAAGAATTCTAACTTCTACCAATTCGTGATTTAGCGCGGCCACCAACCAATGTCATCGGCTGGAAATCCAACCTCACTCCAGACTCGATGGACCTCACTGGTCATGTCTTCTCACTAGAACTACAGGAAACTTCGTCCTGTAGTAAGTCACTCGCGAGCATCAGATTAATTTTCAAGAATTGATTTGTAAGAATTAGATTTTTTCGAGTTTGACCAGCGAGGTCCATCCACTAGGTGGCGAGGTTGGATTTCCCACTGACGACATTGGTTGGTGGCTGCGCTTAAATCACGAATTGTTAGAAGTTAGAATTCTTGGGCTATTGAATTGGGTCCCAATGGCTGAATTGATTACGATTGTGCCTTGTAATTGGAAGGTCCTGGATTCTAACCACAGATGATGATTTCCAAACTAGGATGAAACAGCTGTCCAGTAGTCGGTGGTGGTTTTCACTGGTTCTCTAAGTGATATCAATCCGTGGTCACACTGAAAAAATAAGTCTAATTCTTATAAATCAATTTTTGAAGATTTAAGAATTAGTCTGTGTGCTTTAGGCTACCTGATTTCAGAAATCAACGGTTGGAGACTGACTCTAAGAATTACTACTTTGAATTACATCTAGGGCGATCTATGTACTCGTTATTTATTCTAATTATCTTAATCTCCAGCCTTTTGAAAAGTAACTCACATTAATGTACATTCATCTGTAATATTTAAAAAAAAGTAAATATTGTAGCGTTCTAAATTTTCACGTTTCAAGAATTTATTGCCAGTGTTTATATCTTGTTTAGAGTTCACATTATTGATCTGAAGCTTTAAATGTTAGTGAATATTCATGAGTGAATAAGTGTTATTTTCAGCCTACTAAAATACCTAATTAATTCAAATATTTTCTTCATTAGAACTGAGTGTGTTTAAGTAGTCCTTAATCAATAATCACTAAAACGTTTGTAGTTTTAGTCCGTATTTAACAAGATGAGCGTGTTACTCTGTACAGATACTTATGTGTGTGCATGTGTGTTTCTCTTCACTTTATAAATAGCGAATTTATCGATTTTCTAAAGCCTTGGAGGTTACTACTGATAAGATTTTGTAAGTAGTAAATGGCTTGCGATGTTTTTTGCAATTAACATTGAATTGCGGAGATACAAATTCAATGACACCAAATGTAACACCAGAAAACGGTGGTATTTTTCGTAGTGGTTAGTGTGCAGATATGGCAAACACATACGCCTTTCATTGAAATCACCATTTGTACATGTTCTCAAAATGTGTGCTTCTTTGTCTCCCTTGTTGTTTCACCAAAATCTTCATTTCTCCTCCTCACTATCCATTCAGTCCCTCCACTATTCAATATTTTTACAGAAGACATCACACAATATACTTCTGACAAATTCTTACCAGTAACTGAACACTTAATGTTGTGATAGTTTCCATTCTGCCTTATATATATTCAGTTAGTGAGTAGCGTTACATGTTGTTGTTGATTGCCATCTTTTTTACTAGGCTTCGTTTATGTTGTCTTTTAGTCCATTGTGACTGAAGTTTTCTTCTCTGATGTAGCCATTCCTTTATTTTTTTTACTATAAAGTGCAACTGACGAAGTCAGCGTATACTGTTGTAGTTAAACTTGGTGGCTTAGATGAGAAAGACAAGTTTTAAACTTATTTTGAGTGGTATCTCGTATTAGTAATACTTCATGTCCTGTTTCTATTAACTATTAGCCACATCGTTTATGATCGGTAGTACGTATATTTTGTACTCTTAATTTGGCAGGGGGTATCTCGTTCAATTTTGTGACTTGATAATAGCACTCATCTTTTCAAACAATATAATGGGTTCGAACTCCGGCAGGTGCGTACTGTTGAAGAGTACCAAACTAGGAAGAAACAGCTGTACAGTGCCCCTGGTTTTCCAATGGTTCCCTAACCGATGTCAGCTCATGATGAAATCCTGTAACCAATGATGTAATTCGTTATTTTTCATATGACTGACTACTTGTACATCAAAAATCATCTTTTTATTCCCCTACAGTTATAATCCCCTCTTTTTTATTATACTTTTTGGATAGGGGATTGTATACGTTAGGCTACGGACTTTTTTCGTATATTGAATTCATTGTTACTTTTTATTATTCTCGTAGGTTCCGGGTGGAAATATAGGGCTTCAGCAATACACCATTTTATCCTGTTCTCTGCAGTCGTTTTTAGCTGGCTCCGTAATTGTCCATAATCCTTCAGCCCCTCCTCACACAATCTCTGACCTTATCCCAGTGGGATAAAGTCACTCAGTCGTCTTCTCAGCGTGTGTCCGGCTCCTCTCCACTTTTTCCGGTATATCTGTTGATTGGTAGGC